ATCGAGCTCCATCTAAAATAGCGGGAAGCTTCAAGACTGGTCGATGAGTCAGCAGCGCAGAACGCCGTAGTCCAGTAGACCTAGTCACAAATCAATTACAAGTATCGTTATAAATTAGTGTAAAGGTAATAGATTAGACTTTAAACAGTAAAAAAAGTGTGTTCGTTCCTCATGGCTAACCGTGGCAATCATTAAGGAAACGAACCTTAAACTCATTGCAACTAGTAGAAATGTATTTGGCGCCTCTGTAAAGTTCAAATTCCACTAGCTCCAGGCGTTTTCCGTTCTCCAAGCTACAAACAGATTTGCACTACTTCAGTTGCTTGTGAACGAGCAAAAGATTCAGATACCAAAATCACTGATCCTGAGCTTCAAACACAAAATTCGTATCAACCCCATAGGAAAAATCCCGATCAAGCCCATGCAGTGTTTCTACCCGTTTCTTCTATGCACTTGTCATGCGAGCACCTCATTTTTCTTTTGTAGTGAACGGGCTTTATGTGGGAAACAGGAAATGCCCATTGATACACAGCTAAAGAACAAAAGGCTGCTGTGAGTTCCGCACTTTACTCAAAATAAAAGGAAATTAAAATCGAACACAAAGTCTAGCATTTTCATTGCTTCCCTTTCTCATACAACATTGAATCGACATTTTACAGGGTGTTGTAACAGGCAGAGACGATGTTCCTCTAAATGAGAATGTGTGTACATGTAATATGTCTTTACTGCATCATTAACAATATAAAACAGCATCAAAAGCGGAGTCTAGCCTTTGGTCAACCTACTGACTTACTATAAACTCTAAAAATACCTATTACTGTATAATTTTTTTTATATATCGAAGCAGTCGCGCAGACAGAAGCCTAAAGGCTGGAACATCGCGGCTGCTATGATGATCCCAAGGAAATTTTGTTAATACGATTTTTGAACTGCCTAAGGTTAGTAGAACTGGGAAAAGCTCCGTCTGGTAGATTGTTCCACAGTCTCAACACTCTCGGGACAAAAAAGCGGTAGTATCGCCCAGTTGTGGATGTACTAAGCTCGACCCGGCTAGGATGGGACGCCAAAGTTAGGCGGGTCTGTCTGACAGGAACATCGCGCGGCGGCATCATGGAAGAGAGCTCTGAGGAGCAAAGCCCGTTGGTGTAGCGGTAGAAAAGAGCTAGATCGCCGACTGCCCGCCGGTGCGAAAGAGTCCCGAGACTGTTAGAGAAGAGTCATCGATCAGTCGGACCGTCCTCTGGACAATATCGAGCATGGATAATGTAGTCGGGGCGGCAGTACCCCAAACGTGTGAGCAATACTGGAGGCTAGGCCTTATCTGGACCTTGTATAGAGAGAGAATAGGTCATGCGGAGAAAAGTACTTCTTAGCCCTAAACAAATAGCCTAGCTTTTTCCAAGCAGCTGCAGTTATTGACGAGGTGTGTTCGTGCCAGATCAGGTCCTCGGTGATCTGGACTGCGACTATCCGAAATGAATGGCTCTTTGACAGAAGTCGGCCATCCATAGAAACCGGATGAGCGCTAGGACGCTTTTTGTTCGTCAAAGTACAGTACTGTGTTTTGGAAGCATTGAACTGTACAAGATTGTTGCGTCCCCAAGCAGTGATAGCCTCCTGGTCTTTTGTCAGAGAAGATATCGTCGCTGGCCTTCTTTTTTCCAGCTCAGCTGCACAGATCGGCTTGTCACTATGGATTCCTGCATCTGGAGTGCTGTCATCAGCGAAGCTGTGGATTGGGTTGATCGTGCAGGAAAGGAGGTCGTTGATGTGTAACAGAAAAGTGTCGGAGCCAAGACCGATTCCTGGGAAAGACCCGCGTTGACGTTGTGGGATGAAGAGGAGAACCCGTCAATTACGACGGATATCTCGCAGCCTGAGATAAGGTCAGCCACCCATCTGCAAAGCTTTTCTGGGAGGGCACAGGATGGAAGTTTGCTTAAGAGGGCAGCGTGCCACAGCTGATTGAACGTTTTCGTGATGTCAAGAGCAACGACATGAGCCTCACCATAAGACTGGATGAGTTTACTCCACAATTGAGTGACGTAAGCTAGGAGGTCCCCTGTGGATCGTTGGTGCCGGAAACCATACTGCCTGTCGCTAATCAAGCCGTGACGTTCGAGGTAGTCCAGAATTATGCACCTCTCCATCACCTTACTTATAGCAGAAAGCAGAGCTATAGGCTTGTAGTTGTAAGGGTCGGTCTTAGATCCAGTTTTCAGGGAAGGTGCCGGATTCATAAGATATCTGGAAGAGACGCTAAAGAACTGGAGCAAGCTCCGCTGCACACCTCCTCAGTACAATGGCAGGAATCAAGTGCGGACCAGAAGCTTTGTTGAGCGTCATGAGCACTCGTCTTACGGTCTTATGCCTGAATGTTACGTCTAGCATAGAGTAGGGAACCCTTTGAATGGACGGCACGGGCGTTGGGGAATGGAGTTGGCAGCAAAGGTCTTGGTTAGCACTTCCGCCTTGGGCTTTGAGTCGAATACAATCGTTCCATCCTGACACGTGAGTGGTGGTAGGCGTGATAGAATAAATATAGGTGCTACCAAAATTTCTGTGTTACTGTGTGTTGAAAATATATTGCTTTAGTAGCTGACTTAAATTTATGATGATTTGCTGTATTCCTAATATTGATGTCTAATGCATTATAATATTTAGCGGCGTTATATAAGTAAGAGCGCTGAAATATTGCCATCTGTGCGATGTCTTAGTATGGATAATGTAACTTAATTTTAAATCATCATGTTAATGATTTTGAGCAATTCTAAATATTTGTCTGGGACAGCTACATGATCATGTTTCCTAAAATTATTTTTTTGCCGACAATCAGAATTTTGAATTTTCTGTAGTATCTAGGCGAACATTTGATATAAGCAAGGATAATACTTTATGATTCCATTTGAAATTTACGAAATAATTGATGTTCACATTGGATAGTGTTATCAAGAAACTGTGGGCATCAAAGTTGTATTGAGGATACCGATGTCTACGAAGTAGAGAAATTTTAACATGCGCCGTAGGTGAAGCAATACTCACAAATACCCAGTAGGATGCTTTGACCTCCAATAATATTTCTCACGATATCGAGTTTTCCATTTACCTATCATACTTTGTTTAAATGTAACTAACAGACTATTGTTTTAAAAAAATATTTGCCACCTTGATAGGAATATTTCCGATCAAAAAAATCTTACGATAAAGTCCTTTTCTAAATCTAAAATGCACCAGAGCTTGACATATTTGACGTTATAAAGAATAATTGCAGCGTGATAGATGAGCAAAGCTACCTCACTAAAGCGCTTTACCAAAAATGTTACTCGTACGATATTTGACGACGCGAAAATTTAAAGCACTCTGTACACTGGTAAGTAGGATTTTTTGAGCTTATGCTTCTAGAAAGTTTTTAGTGATGTTTGACAACCGGAGTTCTACTAAACCATCTCTATTGGTAGGTATGAGTCACTAGGAAGCGAACTACATGCCATGATAAAGTTTGACCATATACGGGGTTTGTAAATTAAGTGATGAGACTTGCAACTTAGCGTTCGGTCTGATCACACCAGAGGCGTCGGGCTTGGAGGAGAGACGGGGCAACATGTGATATGCCTTCGGTACAAGTTTGAACTCGCTCGAGTCATTTGGATGGCCGCAGCGATTTTTTTGGTGAAACAGTGTATTGTGTTCTAAAAATGAGTGACATAAATTCCAAGCAACGGTGTGCTATCAGGTTTCGAATAAAACTTGGGTACAGTGCAACAAAAACTCTTGCTAAATAGGCTTACGGAGATAGTGTTTCGTCAAGAGCCCAATTTTTTCGGTGGTTTAAAGCATTTTCAGAAGGGAGGGAAGAAGATGAACCACGAAGCGGAAGGCCTTCATCTTTACGAACCGATGAAAGTATCGGCAGAATCCGGGATCTTGTGTGTTCAGATCGTCGGTTGACAGTCATAATGATCTGAGAAGAGTTAAATTTGATTCACAACACCATTCACCAGATCAACAACTGGGTGTTGCTCCTTGTCAATAAACTAGCTTTTGGCCAGTAAGAACATTCCTGTGGCCCTTCAGCCTCCTTACTCGCCTGACTTGGTCCTTGTGATTTTTTACTCTTCCCGAAGGGAATCTCATTTTGGAATAGTCGAAAAATTCAAACGGCTGTAATCGACCAGTTGCATTGCAGTATCGGAGTTCCAGCACTGCTATGAGGAGTGGAAAAACCGTCTCTAGCGATGTGTTGCTTCAGAAGGAAGTTATTTTGAGGGTGACCAATATATTGATTGTGATAGCAGTATTGCTTACTTATTCTAACCAATAAATGAACCCCTAATGGTAAGCGTATCTGTACTAGAAGCGCCAGCTTGAAATTTTAAGTGATATTTTGGCAAACATGTTAGATTATTATTAATTATATTTGAAACAAGACACATGTTGCATGATATTAAGGAAACATACAGTTACGTTATGACTTGAATCAGTCACTCATGGCGATCACCACCAATTCCCTGTGGAGAAGTGGCATGGTACAGCGCCAAGGCGGATGGCGGCCGCCAAGTCTCCATACTATGAGGCAATTAACTTGTCGCTTAAAATTGTGGGCATACTATTGTTTGAAAATCATGCAACTCGTCTTACTGTTGTATGATCTTTGGTCTATCTGGTTAATTTAATACAATTCATATGCTGAATACCTAGTTCTGGGCGCAGATGATTTCGAAAGTCTATAGATAAGATAGAAGCAATTTCTAGTGTCAATAACAAAAACGTTGGAAACACATACATACAAAACATCTCCCTCCGTACAGATCAACTTCTTTCTTTTAAGTGGTATGGCGCTGAGCCGTTATCTTGTAGCTGTTTTTGTTACATTATATTAAATTACATTACTTAATGACGTTACCTCAAATTTTAGCTTGCTAACTTGATCCATTCAAAAATTAAATAGGCTAAACGGGGAACTTTTCTGAAAAGCACTGATGTAACTCCTATTGTTCACAGGGAAGTAGCTTTGACTCAAACGAAAATGCTTTTGATGACATGAAACAACTGATAAATGTGAGTATTAAAAATATGCTATAATTTCATTATGCATGTATTCTTCTACTCAAAAAAATATAGTTGAAGTAACAAGCGATGTTCTCACTGACTATCCAAATTGTTTTCAATTTTCAACCAATAATGAAAAATAACATAAAGCATTCAGAAGGGACACTGAATCTTGACCTAAACATGGCCAAATTTCGTTTCTAGGTTTGTAGTTCAAGCGTCGTTATCAAATTTAAAACAAACTTGGCATCAGTTTACACTTGTCATATTAGGAAACAACATTTTTTTTAATAAGGATTGGAAATATATCAGTAAATTTAAATGAGTGAGTGTTGCTTTGTCATATATCAGATCTTTGATTCTATATTTCCCATGTCATTCCAGGACGAAGAAAATGATAAGACAAACACATTACCTTGGGCAAGCTTCAACTTTATCAACTCTATCCTAGGAAGTGGCGTCATTGGTAAGTTAACTGAAAATTGACTTTTCTACATTTTTGTGGTCTCTATTAGTCCACGTGTATGATGTAAACGGAGACTTTAGCTTTAATGGTAGTTCAATTCATCGTCTTACTGGCAGTAAAAAGATGCGAGATTTATGGGCAAGGATAAAGAAATAAGAGGTTGGCCATCTTTTCTCAATGAAAAGTCGAGCTTGTGGAAGCAGATCTCACACATTTTAAACATAAATTTGAAAGCATTTTTTAAAGGTATTTTCCTTTTATAAACAAAAAATACATGCAGAGCTGATCAGCCTACTTGAAAAAAAATACACATGATAGCATGCTAATGGTGTGTAACATCTCCGCTGAAAAATGTTTAAAGACTTATTTGTAAGGACGCCACTGGTAGTGCTCTTAAATTAGCTTCAACTATGAAATCTCTGGTTTCTCCTACTAAGCTATCAGGTGCCAAAACATAATGTCTTTAGGGCTTATAAACATAAAACAAAAAAGAAATAAAAAGTGGTACACCCAATAGCTTGTGGCAAAAATATGTTGCAGCATACAATACCCTTCAAAAGGAACCTCTCCCAAGTTATTTTCTGAACGGGTCCAGTTGGCAAGCTAAAATTCGGAGTAATAGCCGAAACTTATGAATATACACATCAGTACTTCACAATCCTAGAGTATGAATTTAAGGCAAAGTATACATAATAAGCTCCAAATTGTAACATGATCCTCCATTCTATTAAAAATGGCCTAGCCGCCATCATGCATCAATATCGTCAACCGACACTTCAGCCTGTTAACTTGACCCGTTTAAAAAATAAGTTAATGGATATTTTTGAGATGCTGCTAAGTGGATATAAACTTTTCTACACAAAACAACCTGAAGATTGAAGCTATAAAATCTCAACATAAAGTTAGGGATGGATGGCATGAATGGCATAATATCAATGTTTTAGTAGAGGACTACGATAAGCCCGTGTGATAAATTTACTGTTAAAACATTAAGGCATGAGAGAACTCCACGTTATTGATCCAAATCACACTGCCTCTTTGACGACTGTTATATTTTCTTTATGAATACTTCCACGAATACACAATAATTGTAGGAAGTTCACCTACTCCTCTTTGTTGTTTACGTCACGGACTATTCTCGCAAATATTAATACTTCACAGGTCTAAAGAGCTTATTCCTAGCAGTTGCTGCGGAGACACATCCCTGCCGAATCATGTCCTTAGTGTTTTCAACTAATGCAAACCAAAACCTACCTTCTTAGCAAGGAAAGTCTACCCATCCAAACCGAATATGCGCTTGTGTTCTTGATCATGTGTTGAGCAAAGCAAAAAAAGATCAAATATACAGCATTCTTTATTTCGGAGCGGTATATTATTTCATTTGAAGGGATTTTTCAAAATAGCGAGTCTGCATGCTGACAATTTCGTTAAAACTATTTTTTTAATTACAGGTATTCCTTATGCTCTCCATGAAGCCGGCTGTGGATTTGGACTCTTCCTACTCCTTTTTGTTGCTTACGTTACGGATTATTCTCTCATTCTTATGGTTAGAAACGGACACATCAGTGGAAAATTCTCTTACCAAGGTATCATGGAAGCCGCATTTGGTAAACCAGGGTACATCCTTTTGGGCATACTCCAGTTTGTATATCCCTTCATTGGTAATTTACTTTTTCTTCAATTCTGAAAGCGTTTTTAATATATAGGACATACAGATGACAGAAAATGAGATAAGCGTCAATTCAGGATTGAAAAACACTAAACCTTTGCGAAACCACGTCCTCGTGTGTTTTTAAATTCTTTTGAGCAAACTTTTGAGTATAGTAAAACATTCTTGGGTGGAGCGTGAGTCCGGAAAATGGGAATATTCGTCCCCTTGAGACCCTATACAAATATGTTATACCTCGTTGGTGGAAGACGGTCTCAGACTGTCGAGCGTAGAAGTAGCACTCGGCGAATTTCAAAGGTGGGTCCAGTATGTGTGCATGTCACATGCTCGCGATATGTTCCCCCAACGGAGTCTGGAACGTCCCTGTATAAGGATATTCTGTAACTAGAAAATAATTTTTAAGTAGGCGTGACTGCATATTGTAATATGTAGTAGGCACTTTATGCCCAATAATGGTAAAGTCCTTTTAGCCCCCACTATCCTTGATATGGGTATTCATGTCCAACTATCGGCTATTCTTAATTAATCAATTAAGCTATAGGCTACGAATAAGATTTTGTATGTATAATATCTAGAGACTAATAAGCTTTTATCCATGTCCTGGCGTAAACGGGTACTTTATGAATAGGTTTTCCAGGCGTTAAGTCCGACTATTCAGCTCACGGACATTACCGCACGCAAAGTGTAAATAAATCAATGTTGAAAACAATATGGCGGCCTACGTGAACTTCCCTCTCTGTATGCATTCCTCCACGTGTTAGGCACGGAGTTTTGGACTGATTGATACATAAAGTGTTGGCTTGACAGCAGGTTTTCGCTCTGGAACTTTGCTCGTTCACATGGCGGGTTAGTTCAGAAGTTGCTTTAAATTGATTTAGGTTGTCGTATGTTCAGCAAATAGCTAAAACTTAATTAGAATTATAATTCTGTAAATTATCGATTACATGAAACATACTGGTATATATCGCAATATTAACAAATTTTATGGGATTTTAATCGATGTCGTAAGCAATCATCTTTTGAATCATAATTACTTATGAGTAACAGTTAAATACTTTGGCCATGCCATAGAAAACTACATTTGCTGCTTTACATTGCTCAAAGCCCCTCATAACATATTCTGCGCGATCTGTCATTGCAGAGGTTGTAGATCTTTTTGATCGAACTCCATGTTGACTTCCAGGAAAAAGACCATTTGCTCAAAAAGACGAGATAATTTGCTTGTTTATGAGAAGTTCTCCTTCATATTCACTGTTTTTTAGCTATGGTATCCTACAACATTGTCGTAGGAGACACCGTGACAAAAGTTATCATCAGACTCTTCGGAATCAGCCCGGAATCGGCATTAGCCCAAAGGGACGTTGTTGTTCTGATTGCAACCCTTTTCATTTCGATTCCTCTATGCCTGTACAGAGACGTCGCCAAGCTTGCCAAGATCTCCTTCATTAGTCTCGTGTGCATCGCCTTTATACTTTTCTCCATCCTATTGAAGACTGGATCTATGGCTGATATTGTGTAAGTATGCAGTGACTGAGAAAAGTCCAATTTTTCACTCAACTTACTGGCGTTTCGGCTACTTGGTAGGCTTTTTAGTTGAATATTTATCTTCAATGTCAGTTTCAGCACAGTTTGCGTATTTTTGGTTTTAATTGAATGCAGTCGGTTTTATTTGAAAATTCTTTCATTTTTGCGAAAAAAGAGACAAACTTTCAATTCTTGAAACCGTCCTCCCTTATCATTGACCATATTTTCCTAACATAGTTTTATTGCCCTAAAACAAGCATCTCTACAGTACTGCACAGTAAAGTTATTATCACCATTGAAAAGGAAGAGGTGATAACTGCAATATGTTTAAGTGTGTAAACTGTTACTGGACATTAAGTTTTCACAGCACACTTAATCCTATATTTCGTTGAGTCTTTATAATGAATTTTGGTTTCCAGTCCAGATCATCCACATTCTTGGAGGTTTATTAACAAAGACATTGTTCCAGCTATAGGAATAATGGCATTTGGTAAGTAAAATTCTAACTTAAAGGTACTTGAATTACCCACGATTACGCTTTACATTTCAAAGGCCGAGCTTAGATATTGATGTACCGCGACCGCTTTGGAGGGATAATACATCTTTATGTTGCGACTTTTGGACTGCTTAATTTTATTTGAACTAGGAAAATAATCTCCTAGATTGTCCTTTATTCCTGATAGAGTGAAAGATGTATGTGAATGAGAAAGTGGGAGCCTCACATCCACCTGGTAGGCCTAGAATACGGCGTGGCAGTAATCTGAAGGAGAGTACAGATGAACGAATGCCGATGGCATGATCGATAGAGATAGACCACCACCATCGAAAAGTAGTCTGGGCAGCAGCCATTTGAGTATATTAACAGCATTCATGGCTGGGTATTATCTGCTGTGTCCTTGAAACCGGTAGCGCAACATCTTTCCAGCAGTTGAGCTGATTGATAAGGCGTGTTGATGCTAGTGATTTGAACTTCGATAGACTGAAACAAACGACCTGCTAGTTAAACTTGGTCTTCTAATAATCTGCTGATAACGTATTAATTAATGAAGGACATTCCATACCCATTTATTCTTCTTTAAAGGCCGTCTTATAGTCTTAATAGTTTCCAGGTAGCGCGGTGGTAAACGCTGCGCAGGTTCGTTTCCTATCCCAAGAGAGTTTTTCTTTTGGCTATGGTCCGTAGCTGGTAGACCGTCTCGGACTGTCAGCGTACTACCCGGCGGATATATAAGGTGGGGCCAGAATGTGTGCATGTCACATGCACACCTGTTGAACAGTCCCCTGGAACATAAAACTGGATGATTACAAGGACAATGTTCAACTATTGGAGAGTATAGTCATGACAGCATCTGACAATACCTTCGTTGTAGTCCACAAATCTGGTAAAGTGAGGCATCAAATTATTGTTGGACATCTGCATCACGTAAAACCATGTCACCATTTCAGTTGGCCATTTTTTCTATCCATAAAGTTTCTAACGTATAATGCAGACTTCAAAACTGCAAACTGAACTATGGCGATGGAACTGATGCATGAATCATATTGTTCAGTGATCCGATACCCATTTTTAAAGCTCTCTATGCCTTTAAACTATCGACTTACTATCATTCGTAATGCCTGAGTGGTGGTCTGTCAAAGCTAAGCGATTGTATTCATCGAATTACCTATAACTCAAATCATCAAAAACGCTATAGTATGTCATATTAATCTTCCTCTTTCAGAAAGGTCTATCTGATTGTGCAATAGAATGTGGACATTCTGTTTAAAAAATGGACTAACTTTGACAATTCTTTCAAATGGAATGTTTCTTATTTTAACACAGATTCTGATAGATACTAACAATAGAACAAAATCTATATGTTATACTGCAGCGTTTTAATGACTGGATTCCAACTAGAAGCGATCAAATATATACAAATGCTCAAATCCATCCTGACAGTCCTTGATTTTGAAAGATATTTATTTTGTTCCAGAAAATAGGTACATAAAGTACAAAAGCTTCAAAATGGGGTATTGCATGACCCCTAATTCCTTTAAAAAAATTTCCAATTTGGTGCTCAACTCCATTTCGAAATTTTCAACTGAGATTTTGATACATCCATTAATTTCATCATCCCTCCAAATTTCATGTTGCTAACTTCACCCGTTCAAAAAATAATAGGCTTTTCGAAAATCACTCTATAGCGCTGACATTTCATAAGTCGTATTTTAATCCCAAGCTACCCCGATATGATTTTGAATATAATACAGACCACTGCGCAAACCGCATTCTTCTCCAACCTCCGTCATTTAATAGATTTTACGTTTGACAGGAATGACGTCTTTCCAATTCACGTTTTTAATTAGCAACGGATCGTCTGTTCTTGACAAGTTGATTATGCAATGAATAATAAAAAGATGTCGTCGGGTGTGAAAACAATTTGTCTAGAAAGATTAGGCTTAAAATTAAAAGACTATCATGATTCAGAAGAGAGCAGGATCGCGACAAACGAGGAAGGTGCCTGCATACGCAATTGGTGGAAACATAACCTTTTCAGCAATGTCCCCTCAAATAAAATAATCTTCGCAAGCATTTCCTAACATAATTGTTCAATCCGCACCGAGAAGAAAGTTTAATTGAATTAATTGAAACTATAATTAGGCCAATTGAAAAATTTAATCAACTATGTGACAGGTAACAAGTTTAAATAGTTTAAGTAAGCCCAGATTTCAAACACAGTTTACTTGAATCTAAGAAACTAGTTTAATTAAACCAAAACGTATTCCTTCAATTAAATTTCTTAAACCGTTTACCTAGATTGAGTACACCTATTTATTTAAAATTAACCAACTATTAAAATGAGTTTACTTGCTCCAAGTAAAACAATTTTATGGTACTTATTAAATTTGTTTGATCAGATTAGGTAAATCTATTTGGCTAGTTTTGATGAATTATTTTATTTGGATTTAAAGGTCTATTTAGATTATATTTGGATAATTTTTGGAATTCAAAAGAACAGATTTCATCTCAATGAATGATGTATATTATAACTGCGCTCTGAGAAATACATATTAGATATCAAAAAAATTGGAAAACCTGATATTCATATTTGATCTTTTCAAATCAAAATCGAAAGTTATTATTTTATTACCGTAAAAAAAATCGATATTAATGTAAACTTCGAAGTTGAGTCATTTATTTCAACAGTGAGTAGATCTGATCAAAAGAAATATTTTTTCCTTTAACATTTTTCTGGTAAAATTAAAGTAACAAAGTTATAGCCCTTTAGAAGTTTGAGTACCGTCCTGTCTCAATAATAATATCATGTGCTCGTGTTTGGCAACAACGGATATAATCCGTCTTATCGGTTCATCGCATCGGAAACAAAAAAGCGAAAGAATTTGAAACGCTTATCACGATGTTTTTACTACAATTTTATTCAGTTGTATTCAGTCAATGTGTCAGTCGGTAACGCGTGAGTGAATAGTGGTGTTTGTTGCGTGGCTCAAACTAAATAAAAAATGGCACATGTTTACGAAAATTTAATTGACCGCTGAACTTGTGGACATGATTCTTATTTACGGGGGGGGGGAGTCTTTACAAAATGCTGGCATCACGGATTTATGCGGATCGGTTTCCCAATCGAGTGCAACCAACCGCTCGTGCCTTTGTTAATGTAGTACAAAGGGCTCGTGAATCAGGTGACTTAAGACCTCACAGGGGAGGGCATGCCGGTGCTCCAAAACCGCACGATTAAATATAGGTCCGCACTGAAATACTTGTGGGGAGGATACTTTATAAAACAAGGTAAAATTTTTTTTAATTTTTTTTTACTTTGACGCACATATTTTGGTTTATCTTCCTTCTACAATCATTATCTGAAAATCAATGACTCAACTTCAAAGTATATGGGATCGACTTTTCCAGTTATTAGTCTGATTGTTTACAAACAGGTTATAATGCATCATCATTCACTAGAAGCAATTCTTTGTTTCAAATTTAGAAAGTAGGGAAAGAGATACTTGAACATGTATACAAAAAGTGTACCTTTATTTCTAATAATAAAGCAATATTGCATTCACCTGCATTCAATGCATTTACATATATAAATAAATTCGACACCACCCTAAACAAACAACGATTTTCTCGAATATTACAAGTCTGCACTAGCAGCGGTGGCCGCAGTAGTAGACTCTTCGAACTCTTGATCAGTCGTGCGCTGTGCGGGTTCGAATCCAGTCCCAATAGACATTTTTCTCTTGGCTATGGATGCTGTGATAATGAAAATGATAATGATAATGAAAATTTTCCACAATAACTGTTTAATTGACCGCGTTTTCTCAGTGCAGGTATCAGCTGTGAAAATCAC